TAGAAAAAAGAAAGAAAAAGAAAAAAAAGATGATTATATAAAATTTAGTTATTTAATAATAAAACATATTTTTGTATATATATATAATTACTTAAGTGTTGCAAAAATATTTGCCAAAATCTAACATGTATACATGCATGTATACACAAAACACAAAAACTATAGCATATGCATTATATATATATATATATAATATTATAGTTTCTTTTTTTTAATTTCTACTTTTAAATTTTTTATCCAACTAATAACTTAGCTAAAGAAGATATTATGTGTAAAAACTATCTCAAACTCGTAACCTCCAAACGTCTACTCTAATGACATACTAAATGATCCAAGGGTCAATCAATATATATAGTTTATATTTTAAGCTTTATCAGTGTATAGGTTCTATATAATGTCAGTATGAGGAAAATGATGTCAACTCATTAATGACTAAACATATATTTTTATAAATTTTAAAATAAAATACATAAAAACTTAATTTTTAAAAAAATTTTTCATTAATGATGTAATATCATATAATTTACTATAGTGCATAGAATTTGTTTATATATAAGGCATCAAATATTATATCAAATGCTAATTTCAGGTGATGAGAAAGCTAGATATGGTGGGTTGAATAGCATGGTTTGAGGTGGTAATTAACATTTCTTAGTTGTTTCTTTTTAATTAAGCAAGTAGTCGATTGGTTCCTAGTGTTCACATTGTATTAAATTAAATGAAAAACGAAGACTTGAGAAAGCCAATGCTTGAATATTGTACAAACAAAGTTGACGAACAAAGGAAATTAGAAGGTGCCCTAGCTAGGTAGTTAAAGTCGATCTCATTCTCATAAGATAATAAAAATAAAATTAGGTTTTTTCAATGTTTATAAAAAGTTTTAAAGATCCCATCATCGCTATAATACACCGCTACTCGCAGAACGACACGTCGAAGGGTTTGAGAATGTTGTATTTTATTCTAAATTAAAGACGAGATTTGATCACGGAATTATAAAAAGATTGGTCTTGTTCAACCAAATCAACCGTTGGCTTAATTAATTTTATATTATAAAGTGAAAGAATATAATATTAAACTTTTTAGTGGTTTAGGGTCATCCACGACACATTAGGGTAAGAGATTAATCACCCACTCAAAAAATATATGTTTTTTTATAAATATATTTTTTGTTAGAACATGAATGGAGATATGGTTGTTAGCCCAAGATTGGAAGTTGAATGATAAAAAAATTGTTTACCTCTCTCATATTTATGGTGGAAAAATTGTTAAAATATTAAAAGAGCTCATAAATTTTATAATTTTATTTAGATAAATCTCTATATTTTTATTGTATCAAATAAACTTTTATTTTTTTTAAATTGTATCCAAATATACTCTTATTTTAAATAAAAAATTGATATACGTTAAGACTTATTTTGATACAAATTAAAGGACAATGATTTATTTAAATATAAATTAAAGTTTAAGGGTTTATTTGTGTGTAAATTAAAAGTTAAAAACTTATTTAAGTGCAATAAAAATACAAAAATTTATTTAAATAAAGTGATAAAATTCAGAAGTTCTTTTATTATTTTAGCCAAAAAAAATTAGAAAGGAATCTCTCTTACCAACAACTTATAAAAAATTGATGAATTAAATAATTTTTAAATGAAATCAATAATTAAAAAAATTAATTATATGTGTTTCTGAAGAAGAAAATCTTTGGACAGAAGATGTGCAAATTAATTGACAATGAAAAATCACAATAAAAATTAAAAACAGAAGAACAATGCAGTAAAATAGGGTACCTACTTATCACCTGTCAGCTGTCTCCCCAATTTTTTATTGTCAATGGTTAGGAAAAAAAAATTGCGTAGTTTCGTGCTGGTTGATACATGCAACACAAAAATAAAAGGTTGCGGGAACTGGAGTTTTTTAAGAGGTAAACTTTTATAAAACCGAGATTCAATCTCCAGCGATTACAATTTTTTTTTCTTTTATCTCCCAAACTTCGACCATCATTTATATAAAAAAAAAATTCTGGATTTGGCGTATAAAAATATTTTTGTTGTCTTATGTTTTCTACTTATGATTATCACTTCCAATTATATTATGCTAATTAGAAAATTCGGTTTGTCAGATCCAAAGCCTTAGAACGAGTATCGGTTAAAATATGAAATTTTAATAAGGATATTTCGTGTTTGAATCTTAGAAAAAAAGAGTGAAATTTATAAAACAAAAAATAGTTTTCTTTTTGGAATTTAAGATAAACAAACTTTTGATAAATCATTGTGTAATTTTATATTACTTAATTGCGATTAGTACAACATAAGAAAAATCTAAAGTTATTATGAAAATGTGAAAATTCTAAAGTCCAAATATGATTTTGAAACATATGAACATTCTAAAGTTATTGTTAAGACCTTGTTTGACTCCTTTAAAGCTACTAGAAAAGGTTTTGTTGAAGGAGAGGTTTTCAACTATTACTATCAAATTACAATTATTTAAAAAACTAAAATGCATTTTGCCTATTTACAAATTTCATTGAAAATTTTTTATCAACTCTGTATTACAACTTGTTGCATAAAAATTTAATTTGGTGTTAAACTTTTAGTTCTTAAATAAAAGTTCATTTTTAGGTTTCTAAAATTGAAAAGTTGCAATTTTAATTCGTATTTGATCCAACTTTTTTTTATAGTATAGTGTTGTGTTTGGAAGCTTGAATTCCAAAGAAGAGACTTAAATTTCAAGTTTGCATGACTTATCATGGATTTTCATAAAACATGACTTTATTAATTTTTTAAATTCAGAAATTTGTTAAATCATTGTTCAATGACAGATTTAAAATGTTTGTTCTCACTAATTAAAAAAATCACATATAATATCATAATTTTAAATATTATTCTAAATTCAGTATCATAATCCTAATTATTTGAGTAATTTAAAGGGACAATACTTAATTAATTTTTTAATAAATTAACTAATTTTTTAAATTCATGTTTGCAATCATAGCATTAATTACATGAGAAAAAACTGTTGATAGAGAAAAACACAAACATTTCAGTACACAAATAGTTTGTGTTGCAATTGTTTAATAGCTATCATTAATCATTGTAATGCAAGTTTAATTAATACTTGTAAATGTAACACATAACATTGTGGGGATAAACAATTCAAATTAAATCCTCCCTAATGTTTATGGAATTTGATATTTTTTTCACAAAACAAACAATACAACCATTTGGTAGAAAAATCATATGCATATGGACTAAGAGAAAGACAAACAAAAAGCAAAGGTTAAAATTCATAACAAATTTTGTTTAAAATAGTATGCTAGTATATTTTATGTTTTAGGATAAAAAATCTTTAAACAAAAATTCAATAATTATTCGAACTTTTATTATTTTATTATAATCAATTAAGCTCTCAAATATTCATTTTTAACAATTAAACCTTAATTAGATGAAAATTGGTTAACCATTAATATCAATTTTTGTCTAATCAAAAGATCAATTGGGATAAAATAAATGTTTAAAAATTAAATTTGATAAAAATAGATATTTGAGGATTCAATTAAATTAAAATAAAAAATTTAGGGTTTAATTAATTATAATAAAATATTAAAAATTTAAATAATTAATAAATTTTTATTTCAGAACTTTTTTTATTCTTTAACTTATATTTTATCTTAGAATAAGAATAAATAAAAGGAGGATAACTTTTTAGTAAGGATGGGAAAGGACTATTACGTTTCACCAAACAATAATGAAAGAGTTTATAAGAATTAGTTCAGTATATTTTATTTTATTTTATTATTATACTTTTATATTAATATAAATTATAATATTTTATATAATATGAATATATTAATTATTAAATAAATGTCGTTATAAGAAGCCAACGTGTGTGTCAATTGATGTGACCCAGATTTCAGGGTGAAACGCAGCATACACATGGGAGATGCCACGTGTAGGCAGGGATGACGGTCGAAAGAGGAGGGAACGCGGAGCTCGGCGTGTCCAAAGAAACCAATAACATTGCACCCTACCACAACCCATTTTTATTCTCTCCGCAATGCTCCAGTAGCCAAATTACTCTATCCTTCTTTTATTTTCTTTTCATTTTAGAGTTAGATAAATTACTTTAGTCAGAGACGTAAATGTACAGTTTTGAATCATACTAAAGAGAAATAATCTATATATAAATTTGTTAATTTTTAAAATAACATAATAATATGATATAAAATAATATATTTTAATATTTTAATAAAAATTATATATAAATTTAATAAAAATAAAAACGTATATTTTATATTTACATATTAATATGAATCATAATATAAAAATATATAAATTATCATATATATATTCAAAATTATATCTTCTCATTGATTGCACAAACGAAACAAGCATTTGAATCAATTCACTTGCTTGCTTTCCCACTTTATGTGTTATTATTTTTTTATAATTAAAATGATCAAATCTTGCTAATTAAAGTTAAAATTTTATTAGTTTATTGATAAATCACATGTGATATTATCTATACATCATACTAAAGTTATATAAAAAAATTTTACAACTCAATTTTCAGTCAAATAAAATAAAAAATTAAATTGATTTAAGGGATAATTTTAATAATAATTATATTTATTAAGGTTAAATTTGATTTTTGATTCACAAGTTTTTTTTTTCTAAATTTAATGAACTTTTCGACACATGAAATAATGTATGACAATTATATATTAAAAATATAAAACCCAACTATAGAGGAGAGTGAAAACGGGAAGAAGAAACGGGGATGGTCGTGTCAAAGGACCAAGCAACTATGTCGAGCAAACACCTTTCCCCATCACATCCTTTAAATAAATGTCACTACTTACTCATCGCCTCTTTTTCTACTCAAATGCAACACGTGGGCTTCTCTTCCACGTCTTTGGTGGACCTTCGCTTCTCTCTTCTCTTCTATATATACCCTCTTCTCTCCCTTCCCCCCCTCTTCCCTCTTCAAAACGCACATAGTGCATCCCCTCTCTCTCTTTAAAGACTCATAAAGCAGGATCTTACATTCAAATTCACTCCAAAACAAAAACCATAACCACTATTAATTGGCCAAAATTGAGCACCTATGGCTTCATCTGCATCTGCATCTGCATCAGCATCAGCGACAGCAGCAGCAGCTGCTACTAGGACTTGTCTTAAGCCTAAATTCCCAGTTTCAACCTCTTCTTCATCTCCAGACTTGGGCTCTATTTCTTCCTCTAGACCTTTCAAAAGGCCTAGTAGAAAGCCCAACATTTCCTGCTCTCTCCAAACTTCTTCCATTCTTCATTTGCCTAAACAATCACCAACATATGTTCCATCACCTACTCTCACTAGAAAACACCCCGAAAACACTTCTTCTACTGAGAAAACTCAATCCCAAGAATGGAATCCCATTCAAAGAGCTGCAGCTATGGCCTTAGATGTGGTAGAAAATGCTTTGGTCTCTCATGAGCGTCAACAACCTCTTCCCAAAACAGCCGACCCCAGAGTTCAAATCTCCGGTAACTTTGCTCCTGTACCAGAGCAACGACTAAAGCATAGGCTTCCTGTCACTGGAATAATCCCAGAATGCATACAAGGAGTCTACGTTCGAAACGGAGCAAACCCACTTCACGAACCTGTTGCCGGACACCATTTCTTTGATGGCGATGGCATGGTTCATGCGGTTCAGTTCAAAAATGGCTCAGCTAGCTATGCATGTAGGTTCACAGAAACTAACCGTCTGGTTCAAGAACGAGCTTTAGGGCGTCCAGTTTTTCCCAAGGCCATAGGTGAACTCCATGGTCACTCTGGAATAGCTAGACTGTTACTTTTCAATGCTCGTGGCCTATTTGGGCTTGTTGATCCAAGCCATGGTACTGGAGTTGCTAACGCTGGACTTGTATTCTTTAACGGTCATCTCCTTGCTATGTCTGAAGATGATTTGCCTTACCATGTTCGTATCACTCCATCTGGGGACTTGAAAACCGTTGGCAGATACGATTTTGATGGTCAGTTAAAGTCTACAATGATTGCTCACCCCAAAGTTGATCCTGAAACGGGCGAATTCTTTGCTCTTAGCTATGATGTTATCCAAAAGCCATATCTTAAGTACTTTCGTTTTTCACCGGATGGTAAGAAATCACTTGATATTGAAGTTCCAGTAGATGGTCCAACAATGATGCACGATTTTGCAATCACAGAAAATTTTGTGGTGATTCCTGACCAGCAAATCGTGTTCAAATTGCCTGAAATGATCCATGGTGGCTCACCTGTTGTCTATGACAAGAACAAGATGTCAAGGTTTGGGATATTGGAAAAGAATGCCACTGATGCTTCTGGGATTAGATGGGTTGAGGCACCTGATTGTTTCTGCTTCCATCTTTGGAATGCTTGGGAGGAGCCAGAGACTGAGGAAGTTGTGGTAATTGGCTCCTGCATGACACCCCCAGATTCCATTTTCAATGAATGTGATGAGAGTCTCAAGAGTGTTTTATCTGAAATTAGATTGAATTTGAAGACTGGCAAGTCAACTCGCCGGCCCATCATTGCAGAATCTGAACAAGTGAACTTGGAGGCAGGGATGGTGAACAGGAATTTGCTGGGAAGAAAAACCCAGTTCGCGTATTTAGCTCTTGCCGAGCCTTGGCCTAGAGTATCAGGATTCGCCAAAGTCGACCTCTCAATTGGAGAGGTTAAGAAATATATCTATGGAGACCAGAGGTATGGCGGTGAACCTTTGTTCTTTCCTCGAAACCCCGACTCGGAGAACGAGGATGATGGTTATATTTTAGCTTTCGTTCACGATGAAAAGACCTGGAAATCAGAACTGCAGATTGTGAGCGCCATGAATTTACAGCTAGAAGCCACAGTGAAGCTTCCATCTCGAGTTCCATATGGTTTTCATGGAACATTCATATGCTCCAAGGACTTGGAGAAGCAGGCCTAATTCAACTTTGAATAGCCTTGTTGATTTATCATCAGGTTTCTTAGATTGTTTAGTATGTACCAGAGGGATGCTTGCATACATTGTCCCCGGAATCTTCCTCTGTTTCGCAGCTTGACGACCCTGTTTTTGGGTTAGTCCGAGGCTTTTACCTTTGGTTTATTTTAAAGTGAAAGGTTTTGATAGACCAGCTTGTAGCTTATGGGTGTAGGTGGTGTTGAAGCTCAGCTGGTTTCTGCTTTTTCTTTCACTTGTGTGCATGAAACAGTACATAAATTACAAGAAAATATCTAGTATGTATTTCTCTATTTGTCTCTGTTTCACAGCATATATGTATAATTATAAATACCAGTATCTTTCTTCCAAGTACTCTTTTTTTTTTCTAAAAGGGAGATCATAGCCTTGAAATAAGAGAAGGAACTGCATATGTTGAGATTCAAATTCAGATCTGCTGAATGCTGCCACCTCTGGATTCAAATTAGAAATTGAATTACTCAAATATTTGTATATACTCTGTTTATTACTATTGAACATCCACCTTGAGCAATTTGATGGGTGATCCAGTGAGGTATGATTGGCCAAAAAGATTTAATCCGGAGAGAACAATTAAAAGGAAGAAAACAAAATCTAACATTTTGAGAAGAAAAGTGCCTACATTATTTTTGCATAGACAGCCGAGAAGAAGACAATTTGTTTAGATATCTGATGGTTGGTCTATTTTAAAAAGAACCTAAGTGGAATTTAGAACAATGAATAAATGAGAAAGCTGAACGGTTGAATGTTTAATCATTTCAGGATTGGTTAAAAAAGAAAGATTGGACCCCGTTTTTAGTCTTCAACTCTGTTAATTGAGAACCCTTTTTGACAGATTTTATGTTTTAACACTGCTGCAAATCCTGGAGTTGATAGTGGCAACTTACCATTGGCAATGTTGTTAGAAAAATGGGTCCAGCCCCATGTAAATGATTTTGGATCAAGTAAAGGTCATGGGCCTTGATCTTTCATTTTACATAGAATCCTAGCTACTTAATAAAAAAAAAGATGGAGTTATTTTAAGGGAGTGTCGAAAACCGAAAACCAAGTAGAAAAAGAAAAAAAACCAGAAAAAAGCATAGAAAAAAAAGAGAAGGGAGAGTTAGTTGAACGGAAGTCGATCCGTGGTCCGATTGAGTTGGAATCTTGTCAAAAAGTTTATGATTCAGAGTTCTACATTCTGAACGGTGAAGATCGGATTTGAAGCTTTCTAGGAACAAATTTAAGGTGTATTTGTTGAGTCACTTATTTGGTGAGATTTCTCCAATTGTTTCTCTAGTTGTTGTTTAGCTTTAATTTTAGCTAGAGAAAAACTTTGTATACCTATTATTTGATAGTGAAGATTTTTTTGGTGGTTCGTGATTTTTTTTCCTCTACACTAGAGGGTTTTTCATGTAAATCTTAGTGTGCTTTATTTTTCTTGCGTTTTTTATTATTGATTATTGTCTATTGCTTCTGTATTGTTGTGATTATTGCTTCAGGTGCAACAAGTGGTATCAGAACAATGGTTATTTTGAGATATCGATACAGAAGCAACCCGTGATAGAAATAAATTCTGTTTGAGATCATGAAGGGTGATACAGGTTCCATGATAAAATTAACAGCATCGAATTATTCAGTTTGAAAGCCTATGATGGAAGATCATCTATATTTTAAAGATTTGTATGAGCCAGTATTGGGTGATTCGACTAAACCATTAGATATGAAAGATGAAAGCTGGAAGAAGTTAGGTAGAAAGATGCTAGCTACAATCAAAAAATGGGTTGATATCAGCATGCTTCATCATGTAGCACATGAGTTAGATGCTCACATTGTTTGAAAAAAATTGGCAGCATTGTATGAGAGAAAAACAGGTATGAATAAAGTTATGTTTGTTAAAAAGCTTGCAACTTTACAGTACAGGGATGAACGATCTGTTATAGAGCACTTGAGTGATTTTCAAGATATATTTAATTGGATGACTACTATGGAGCTTAAGATAGATGATGAAATAAAGGCGTTATTTCTTTTGGGTTCATTGTCAGATCACTGGAATACTCTAGTTGTGACTGTTCTTAATTCAGCTCCTGACTATAAGATGATATTGGATATGGTAAAGGATAGTATGCTTAATGAAAAAACAAGGCGAAAAGATGTAGACCCTGGGAATCAAGCTTTGATCACAGAGAATAAGGGTAGAAACATCGATAGAGATCAGGACTTAAAAGGTCGTGGTAGTCTAAACATAAATCCAAGTCTAGAGGTAAAGTGAAATGTTTCTATTATGGTAAGACAGGTCATATAAATGAAACAGTAAAATCTTGAAGCAAGAGTGAAAAGATGAGAAAGGCAAGAGTTCAGATGATGATAATGTTGCAACAGTAAATTCAGATAGTGATTCAGTTACTTTGATTTGTACACATGGTGATTGTAATCAAGTTAGTGATCCCGACATTGAGTGGATAGTTGACACAGGAGTAGCATATCATTGTGTTTCTAAGAGAGAGTTGTTTACAACTTACAAAGTAGGAGACTTTGGTTATACCAAGATGAAAAACAATAGTGTGTCCCAGATTGTTGGGATTAGTGATATTATTGTACAAACTAGTACATGCTGCATGTTGACTTTGAGGGATGTCAGACACATTTTAGATATGAGAATGAACTTACTTGTTATTAATGTCCTTGATAAGGAGGGATATGAAAGTCGATAAAAGAATAGACAGTGGAAGCTTATCGAAGGATCTATGGTAGTTGTAAGAGAAAAACTATGTTGCACAATGTGTAAGACATGGATGCAATTAAACAGTAACTAGGTAAATACCGTTGAAAATGATGCTTCAGCAAACTTGTGGCACAAGAGGCTGGCACACATGAGTGAAAAAGAGTTACAGGTTTTGGCAAGGCAGTCTTTTATTCCCTTGACCAAAGATATGTCTCTCGATTCATGTGATTATTGTTTGTTTAGTAAGCATCATAGAGTTTCTTTTCGTAAAAATTCTCAGAAAAAAGAAAATTTATTAGAATAATTTATTCTGACATATGTGATCCCATTGAGGTTGAGTCATTAGGTGGTAGCATATATTTTGTTACTTTTGTTGATGATGCTTCATGTAAGACTTAGGTGTATATGTTGAAATACAAAAGTCAGGTACTGCAGTATTTTCAAAAATTTCATGTCATGGTTGAAAGGATGACAGGGTTACTCTTGAAGTGTATTCGAACTAATAATGGTGGAGAATACACATCTAAAGGCTTTAAAGAGTATTGTTCAAAGCATAGGATCAGGTATAAGATGACAGAACTTAGAACACCGTAGTATAATGGTATAGCTGAAAGAATAAATCGTACTATTGTGAAAAAAGTCAGATGTATATTGAGAATGATAAAATTACTAAAGCCATTATGGGGTGAAGTAGTCAACACAGCTTGTTACTTACTTAACAGGTCACTATCATTTTCTTTGGGCTTTGAGATTCTAGAAAGGGTGTGGACAGAGAAAGATACTTCATACTCTTACTTGAAAGTTTTTGGGTGTAAAGCATTCTTGTATGTGCCAAAAGAGCAGAGATCAAAGCTTGATAGTAAGGCCACATAATGTGTGTTTGTAAGATATGGTGATGAAGAATTTGGTTACAGGGTATGGGATCCTATAAAGAAAAAGATAGTCAGAAGCAGAGATATGGTCTTTCATGAAAAAAAAACTATAGCAGACTTTGAGAAAAATAAGAAGACTACCCGAGTTACTATTGAGTGTGATGTTTCAACACCGACAGAGATTCCATAGTAAAGAGCTACATATGGTGAAAATGAGCAAGAAACAAAACTTGAGGATATGAATGAGCCAACTACAGTTGGTGATGAGCCAGATGCAATTAGTTTTGAGCAGGGAAAGCAATCCTCTTTACCTGAGAGTGTTGAGCAAAGAGAGCTATCTTCGGCATCAAGTTATTTAGAGTCTTAGCTTAAGAGATCTACTAGAAAGCACAAGTAATCTACCAGGTATCTAAGTTCAAATTTTATTTTAGTTACCAGTGAAGGAAAGCCAGAAAGCTTTCAAGATGTGCAAGTTACTCCAGATAGAGAGCATTGGTTAAAAACAATGAAAGAAAAGATGGAGTCATTACGAAAGAACTGTACTTATGATCTTATTAAACTTTTAAAAGGGAAGAGGCCATTAAAGAATAAATGGGTGTTCAAGTTGAAAAAAGATGGTGACAAACTAGTGAGGTACAAAGCTCGATTGATAGTAAAAGTTTTTTTTAGAAACCAGGCATCGATTTTGATGAGATCTTTGCTCCAGTTGTAAAGATGAATTCTATTCGAGTGGTACTGGGATTAACAACTAGTTTGAATCTTGAGCTTGAGTAACTTAATGTTAAAACTGTATTTTTGCATGGTGATTTATAAGAGGACATTTATATAAATCAGCATGAAGGTTTTGAAATGAAAGGGAAATAACACTTAGTTTGAAAATTGAAGAAAAGCTTGTATGGCTTGAAACAAGCTCTGCGACAGTGGTATAAGAAGTTTGATTCTTTTATGGTGAGTTATAGCTATAAAAAAATAGTAACAAATTCTTGTGTGTATGTTAAACAATTCTCTAATGGTAACTTCATTATCCTATTATTATATATTGATGATATGTTGATTGTAGGACAAGATGCTAGTATAGTTTATAGGTTGAAAAAATAATTGTCTAAGTTCTTTGATATGAAAGATTTAGGTCCAGCAAAGTAGATTCTTGGTATAGACATTATCCAAGATAAAAAAGCTAAAAAGCTGTGGTTATCACAGAAAAAGTATATTGAACGAGTGCTTGGTAGATTCAACATGTAACATGTTAAATCAGTTAGCAGTCCACTTGCCAACTATTTTCATCTAAGTAAGAAATCTTGTCCAGTGTCTAAGAAAAAGTAACTAACTATGTCTAGTATTCTTTATTCTTCTGCAGTCGATTCTTTAATGTATCTTATGATTTGTACAAGGCCTGACATTGCTAATGCAGTTGGTATAATGAGAAAATTTCTTTCTAATCCGAAAAAGGTTCACTGGGAAGCAATGAAATGGATTTTTAGATATTTGAGGGGTACCTCAAAAATGTGCTTGACTTATGAAGTTTCACAACCAGTTCTAGAAGGGTTTACTGATGCTGACATGGTAGGCGATCTTGATGGTAAGAAATCTACTTCAGGGTATTTATTCACTTTTATAGGAGGAGCTGTATCTTGGCAATCTAAGTTACAAAAATGTGTTACTTTGTCAACTACAGAGGTTGAGATATTGCAGCAACCGAAGCATGTAAAGAAATGCTTTGGATGAAATGTTTCTTCTTGAATTGGGGTTAAATAAAAAAAAGTATGTGATATTTTGTGATAGCCAAAATGCTTTAGATTTGAGTAAGAATATCATGTACCATGCTAGAACAAAGCACATTGATGTTAGATATAATTGGTTACGTTCAGTGATTGAAAATATCAGATGTTGTTGAAGAAAGTTCATACTGATAAAAATGTAGCAATATGTTGACTAAAATACTTCTAAAAAAAAAACTTGAGCTCTGCAGTAACTTGATCAAAATTAATTCCCTGGTTAAGG